CAGTCAATTTTTCCCTTGGGGATTAGGGCATGCAGGATTTTGGGTCCCCCCCCCCCCCCCCCCCCTACCCAGTTCTAGACGACGAAACGCTCAAGTGCTGGGGCAGCAACAGTTTAGGCTCCCTGGGGCTCGGCGATGCCATCCCCCGTGGCACAGGGCCCGGCGAGATGGGCGACAACTTGGAGACCGTGCCACTGACGTTCGGGAACGGCGAAGGCGCCGCATCCAACGTCTTCGCCGGGTCGTTCCACTCTTGCGTGACTGGGTCCGAGGGGGGGCTGGCCTGTTTCGGGTACAACGCCCTGGGCCAGGTGTGTGTCGGTGGTGGTGGTTGTTGTTGTTGTTGTTGTTACAGTATTGCTGTCGTTGGTGCTGCTGTTGTTGTGTCCTTTTTGGTGCCGTCGCTCTTGCTGTTGCTATCGTCGTCACTACCGTACTGTTTTGTTGGGTGTCCCGTATTGCTGCTTTTGTTGCTGGTGCTGTTTTTGGCTGCAGTCTTAACATGTGACCAATACCTAAATAGTGCTACTCTTCCAAACGAAGTTACTTGGTCTCATCCGACCTACCGCACGTACAACCCGAGGTCATTCCTAACGCTGGCGAAAACATCGGAGGGGTAGTCTTACATACGTTATCGCCCGCCCTGAACGGCTGACCAATGACCAGACGTCAGTGTAGCCGGACACGCAAACGAGCCGGAGCCATCGGTGCAGAATGTGTGGGTGGGTGGGTGGGTGGGTGTGATTGTCTGTCTTCTTCAACCGTCCCATGTACTACCGTCTCTTGTTATTTCCTCACCACGTATGCAATCATCCACAATCAAGTTCGAAGTGGGACTTTTTATCTTTTGTCGCCGACACTAATGCAGTTGCTGCTTTCCGAGGAATACTTTCCGTCCAAGATGTTTCCGATTCATGTGTCCTCCAACGAGGGTACCCGTCATTTTAGACAGAGGAGCATCAACAGCAGTCACAACATTTTTTTATCAAGATTCTGGGGTTATTTACATGCACCCTCAAACAACAAACCAATCTCTCCCCTCCCCCTGGTGCTTCGGAAGCGGGTACGCAGCCATGAAATTGTCAAGGAAATCCCCCCCCCCCGCCCGCCTGGCCCGGTGAGAACCCGGGGTGCCCATCCCGGCTTTGTAGGGATGCGAGTTCAATGGTCTAACGACTACGGCATGCACGGCTATGAGCACACACAC